ACACAAGAGGGCTGGAGAGATGGCTCAGTGGTCTAAAGCACCTACTTGAAACAAGCTTGGCAAAGCACAGGGACCACAGTTCGATCCCCCAGCACCACATGCCAGCCAGCCCCGCCCCCTGGTGGGATGAGCTGGCAACACACACACACAATAAATAAATGTAATAAATAAAAATAAATATTAAAAAAAACACACACACACAAGAAAAGTCTCCTGAGTGCCTGGAAATGTGACTGATGTTTCATATCTTGTAATTATCTGGTGAATAAACAAATGATTCTATAAAACAACAAACTAATAATAATTTTTTTTTAAAAAACAGTAGCACATGAATGACACCAAGGCCTGCTGCCAGCGTGAGCAGTAGCTGGGCTCCCCTGTATCATAGCTGCAGAGGTCTCCGAGTGCCTGGATGTCTGAATACTACAAACTGAATCGGGGAAAACAATTTCTGGGGCAGCTGTCTTCAACCATTACACCTCTTCTCAAAGCAAAATCCTTTTATTTTGTTGCAATCCTGGAGTTGAACCCAGGGCCTCCCACTGAACCACACTCCCAAAAACGACAGTTTGATTTCCAGTGATGGTCTCAGTATGTTGCGTAAGCTGGCTGGAATGGGATCATCTTGTCTCAACCTCCCAAGTGCTGAGAATACAGATAAGGGATACTGGGTCCTCTAGAATAAATATCTTTGGGTAGCATTTTTACTGGATGGAATCCAGATACAACCAAACAAGCTGGCAGTTGGCCTCTCCCCGGACGCAGAGCCACTGTGGCAGGCCCTGCGATGGCAGGCAGCTACGCACTGCCCCTTCCTGGTGGCCTCGGTGGGCAGCAGAGCCCCAGGAGAAACCACCTCTTCTGCGAGGGCTCCGCGAAGACGAACCTGAACTCAGCGGCCGGCAGGGGGCAGCTTCCCCGCACGCCCTGCAGCCCTCAGCCCACACTGCTCCCTGGAGGCTGTGCCTGCCGGGACGCCTCAGAGAGCCGATCTAGCCCTAGAGGGAGGACTCAGGGCGATGCTCCCTTGGAAGGGTGATTAATTGGTTGACTGACTGATTGATTGACTTAGACAGGGTCTCACTACGTAGTTCTGGCTGGCTTTGAGCTCCCTAAATCGCCCAAGGTCATTAAATCTCACCGGTTTTAAATTCACTGCGATCGATCATCGCATCTCACCCCGGGAAGGCTGGGATTTCACGCATGTGCCACGGCCTGAAAGTTATTGAGAAACTGCTAAACTACTTTCCAAGGGCTGGCCAGATAGCTCAGCGGACTACAGTGCCTCCTCCCGCAGAGCGCAGCAGCTGGGGTTCAATCCCTGGCGCGCCGTGCTGGCCCCGCCCCGAGGCGCACTGAGACAGCGAATGAAACTGAGCGTGGTGACGCACACCTGTAATCCCAGCGCTTGGGAGGCTGAAAACAGGAGAATCACCGCGAGTCCCATCTGTGTAGTGAGACCCTGTAATAAACTACTTTCCAAAGCACTGGTACCATTTGAAATTCCCATAAGCGGTATATAAGGGTTCCTGTCTCTCCACCAATACTTGTTACTGTCTCTTTGATCATATCCATCCCAGGGGCATGAAACTGTATCTCACACTCATTTTTATTTTATTTTATTATTTTTTGGCGGAACCGGGGATTAAACTCAGGCCCTTGCGCTGGCCAGGCAAGCACTTATTCTACTGAGCCATCTCCCCAGCCCCCTCATACTCATTTTGATGTAGATAGATTTCCTACTGACTAATGATGTTAAGCATCTTTTCATTTATCCATGGGCTATTTGTACATCTTGTGTAGAGAGATGTCTAGTGGTCTTCTTTGACCATTTAAAATTGTGTAACCTTAGCCAGATGCAGTAGCGGCACACCTGTAATCCCAGCACTCAGGAGGCTGAGGCAGAAAGAGCACCACAAGTTTAAGGCCAGCCTGAACTATCCTGTCTTAAAAAACAAAATTGTATAACCTTTATAGACCAACTGCCCAGCTCTGAGACCCCGTCTCAGGGCTTTTTGTTCGTTTTTTTGAAGGGTTTTTTTTTTGTTGTTGTTGTTTTGTTTTTTAATTATTATTTATTTATTTTTGCGTGTGTGTGTGTGTGTGTGTGTGTGTGGCCAGCTCAGCCCACCAGGGGGCGGGGCTGACTGGCATGTGGTGCTGGGGATAGAACCGCGGTCCATGTGTTTTGCTAAACTTGTTCTAAGTAGGTGCTTTAGACCACTGAGCCATCTCACCAGCCCCTTTGTTTTGTTTTTGAGACAGTCTCGTGACATAGTCCAGGCTGGCCTTGAACTCACGGTTAATCTCATACTGGTCACGAACTCTGGGTGATCCTCCTGTCTCAGCCTCCAGAGTGCTGGAATTATAGGCATCTGCCACCACACCCAGTTCCCATTTCACTTAAAAAATAAATAAATAAATAAGTAACTTCAGCCAGGTGTTTTGACACATGCCTGCGAGTTCAAGGCCTGCCTCTACCACATAGTGAGACCCCTCTCAAAACAAAAAGAACCAAAACCGTTTTAAATTGTAAAACTCATTTAACATTGGTCTGGATTGGAGAAAGGAAGGAGGAGGTAAGGAGTAGCAGAGGACAGAGAGGGTGGAGCTCGAGACAAATCAGTCCTTGTCTTTGTTTTGTTTTTGTTTTTGTTTTTTTGGCATAACCAGGGATTGAACTCAGACCCTTGAGCTTGCCAGGCAAGCACTTATTCTACTGAGCCATCTCCCTGGCCTCAAGTCCTTAAAATGTTAAAGCGAGGGGTGCCCTGATCAGATCTGTCTTTTGAAGAAATCACGGGCAGTGGGACTGTGGACGGAATGAGGAGACAGCGGCAGAAATCCAGAGAGGAAAGGCTGGAGGTAGAGGCGGGGGCCGCACGCCTGTCATCCCAGCACTCTGAGAGGCGGCGGCAGGAAGATCTCAAGTTCGAGTCCAGCCTGGGCAATTTAACAAGCCCTGTGTCCAAACAGAAAGCAAAAAAGGGATGGAGATGGAGCTTAGTGCCAGCGCCCTGGGTTCAATCCCCGGTAAGGAAGAAGGAGGCGCGCAGAAGCGGGGGAGCAGGGCCTGCTGCAGAGACCCTCGGGACCTGGCGTCCAGAGGAGCGGCCGCGGGAAGCGCCGTCGGGGACACACGCGCTCGGGCGGGGCGGAGCCGCCCGGGGCCGGAACCCTCCGAGCCGCCGCCGCGTTCGCCCCGGGACCCCTCGGGGGAACCCCGGCTCCGTTGCTAAGGGGCGGTCCCGGAAGTGACGCGCCCGGGGTTTGTTGACAGCGGAGGCGGCGGCGGCTGCCCGCTCCTGATCGTAGAAGCCGGATCGGGGGAGGGGCCGGGCCCGGGACCCAGCACCTGGCAGCCCTCGGCGCAGCCGGCAGCCCACCGGGCAAGGTAACAGCCGCGGGGTCCCCGTCGTGACGCCCTCCCCCGGGCGCCAGCCCTCGGCAGCCCAGGCTCCGCCCCGCCGACCCCAGTCTCGGGGACCCCGGCCCTGGAGGCGCCGTGGCTGCAGCTGCTCCCGGGCCCCGTCCTGCGCTCCTCCTTGCCGGCGAAGCATCCTCCCCGCTCCCCAGCGCGGAGGGCGGCCCCATCCCAAGGTAGGTCCCGATCGCCGGGCCACGGGTGTACCTGCGTCCCCTACTTCCCGCCTGCCTCCCGGGCCTAGGCATTGCCGCTGCAGCCCCTTGCAGAATGGGCTCACCTCGGCCGGGGCTCAGAGGGCCCCTTTCTCCACCTCTGTCGCCGGGTCTGACCGCCGTGCCTTGAAAACTGAGCTCCCTTCCTGCAGAAAGAAAATGACGCTCCGTTGAGCGCCCCTACAAGATGGGGGATCGATGTAGGGCTGGGAAGACCAAGCTCTGCCCCTCCTACCTGTTGGATGAGCTGAAGTTATCCCAGGGCCCTGCAGCTCGGGGATAGCTTGGCATTTGGGTGGGTCCCCAAAGGGATGACAAGGTGCAGGGAAAGCCACCCAGGTGGGAAAGGGAGGGGTGGGGTTGCGCCCTAAAGGCTGGAGAGCCCCGATAGGTAAGTTGAAAGTGAAACTAACTCTTGGGGGTGGAACTTCGTTTGACTGCCCTTTGACAGGAGCTGACCCCGACTGCCTGTCTTTACCTGTGTGGCTTGGAGTGAATTGGGTTTTAAGGGCCGGAGGGACCTGAAGCTGGAAAAAAGCCTCCTCTATCATGGTTCCCTGTGCTGTGTGCAAACCGGTTAGAGGGTGCATGGGGCACAGCTTTGAAGGAGCACACAGGAGGTTGGTCATGCTGCAGAGCAGTAGGTGGCTGTGGCCCCTCCACTTCAGTTCATTTGGCAAACAGTAAGCATGCAAGGCGTAGAGTGGTAATGAGTGCTGTGGAGAAATGAGCCACAAGGGTCTGTGGGGAAGCCAGAGGCTGAGGTCACCTTTTCATAGAAGGCTGAGGAGGTGCTGTTTGACAGATGAGTGAGGGAGCCAGCTGTGCAGCCAGCAGGTGATTGAGCGTTCATCAGCAGGTGCAAAGGTCCTGAGGTTGTCTGCTTAGTGGTGTTAAAAATCAGCAAGAGAACAGAGGACTGGAGCATGGTGAAGGAGGCAAGGAATGGTTGGCCAGGAAGTCAGGACAGTTGGAAGCAGATAATGGAGGGGAGCGTGGCAGGGGCAAAACATGGTCATGGGGGTGGGTAAAGGCCACCCTTTCAGAATTTGCTTGTCCAAGTGTCTGGTGGCTGGAGAAAATACAGATTTGTTTTAGATAACAAGCAGCCATTGTGCTCTGGCTTTGGGTCCTAAGTGCCCTTTTCTCATCTTTGTAACAACCATTGATGAAATAAGTACTCCCCCCCCCACCACCAAAGACAGCCGTAGAGCACTGTGGGAACATCTAGTCGGCTACCTCTCCCCCGTGGGTGTGATGATGTGGGCCGGAAGTCTTTGTTTCTGCCAGGGTCTTCGCATTTCTAAAATGCGGTTGTTGAGCAAAACGGGAGCATGCATGGAAGGGCTTAGCTTCGGACTTGGCTAGTAGCTTGTGCTCAGGTATAGCGGACGCAGTAGTGACAACAGTGTGACAATCAGCAGCCCTCTTCGTGTGTGTCACAGAGTCACTGCTTCACCACCAGCTCCGGCTGCCTCCCCAGGTGTAGTAAGACTTGGGGGAATGTTGGAGGAGGCACAATAGAAGCTTCCCACCACCTCGGGTTGCAGCTCTTATGGGGAGGGCGGGGACTCGCAGTGGAAAGCAATAAGGAATTTTGAAAAAGACCCAGCACATCCCCATTCTGTCATCTGAAACAGGCAAAATGGACGCAGCTTGGCAACAGCTAGGGAAGGACAGTGGATGTTGGGCCCAGAGGTGAAAGTGGAGCCTTAGGGGCTGGGGCCTGCACAGGTGGAAGCTTCGGCGTCTCCTCCTGGGTCACTGGCTAACGGGGCAGCTGGGCCAAAGGGCTTGAAAATAAAAGATCCAGGAGCTGAAGATATGTCTCAGTGCTATAGCACTGACTTATGTGGCATGCTTGAGGGCCTGGGTTGGGGCACATGAAAGAGAAAAAGGAAATGAAATGCCCAAGCACCATTCGGGCTGGCCTCAAACTCATGGTGATCCTCCTGCCTCGGCCTCCTGAATTCAGGAAGCCCTTAGGAAAGAGGCTGCTCTTAGCCCTGAGCTTTTTTGCTCGGCTTCTGTACCTCACCTGTCCTTGGTTCCTCAGTTGTGAGTTCAGAGACCCCAGTGGGCTGTCTGTTCAGAGGCCAAGGTCCTACCTGGTGGTTTAGCAACCAACATTGTCAAGACAGGCAAATGCTCAGGACACCGCTCTGCTTAGCAATCCCCCCCCCCCAACCAGGGATTGAACTCACGCCCTTGCACTTACCAGGGAAACGCTCATTCTATTGAGCCATCTCCCCGGCCCCAGCAATTTGTGTTTTTTTTTTAATGTGTTTAGTACAGGGTTTGCAGGGTCTCACTACACAGATAAGATTTGTACTAAGTGATCCTTCCTGTGTTTCAGCCTCACAAGTGCTGGGATTATGCTTTAATCTGCTGAGCTATCTGGCCGGCCCTTGCTTAGCAATTCTTTCCCACCCTGCTGCTGTTCTCACATGGCCTCCTCAGCAGCCCCCCGAGGTGAGGGCTATGCCCAGCACTGCGACAGGTGAGGACTGGGAGAATACAAGGTTGGAAAACCATGCCTGGGACCCTCATGGAGCTCTGGCTTCCTTGCCACAGCTAACCTGTCACACTCACTGTCGTGGAGGTTTGTGGGTCACACACAGTTCCTTCTCTCTGGAAGCTTCCTGTCCTATGACAGAATTAAATGACAGCTGCTCATGGGATCTTGCCCAGCCGTACCAGATCCGCTGCTCATTGGCTCCAAGAACACAAGGCATTATGGGGCCGCAGCAGAGGCTTAGGCACAGAAGGTGAAGCTGAGGCAGAGAATCAGGCACCACAGGGACCCTTGGGCACATTTGTGCTCAGCTTTGACCCTTAGACTTTTCCTCAGGGAAACAAAAGCATCCTGTGTCCCCTTGAGGTTCTCTGTGGCATCTTTGAGAACATGCCTAGAAAACTCCGAACACTTGAGTCTTGAACTTAGAATGAACACAGTACCTGAATCTGTGCTCACGCACTCCTGGTCCGCGGCACACGGTTGTCAGCTGTAGATTACAGCTCCTGGCCGGGCATGGTTGTGCACACCTGTACTCCCGGTGCTTGGGAGGCTGAGGCAGAAGGATTGATGTGAGTTTGAGGCCAGTGTGGCCTACATACGCAGCCAGAGCCTGTCTCAAGAACAAGACACCCCCACCCCCAAGAACTCCTGCTCCTGCTGGAGCCCGAGAGAAAGCCATGAGTTAACAAGTATTGAGCACTGAGCAGAATCCTTAGCAGACTTGGCACCCAGCGTGAAGTGATCATTAGTAAGTCCAACTGCAAGATTAGAACCCAAGCTGATTCCAAGCCTACCCTGGCACCCCCTAAACCTTGCATGTCCTCTCTCTCACTTTCTTTCATGATATTTGTTTATTTATCAAGAGAGACGGCACCAGCAGTCACCTCATGGAGCTCTGCATTTGACCCTGGTTTCATTTCGGCACCTTCTGCTCTTAACCTATTCTGCCCTTTGGTCTCTGCAGAATCTTCAGGCAGGTGATCTCTGAGCCTTACCTGTGCCCCATGTCCCAAGAACCCTGGCATCACCCCAAGTCCAGGCCCAGTGTGGCCTATGATCTGTTCCACCCCAGGAAGACTCCAGCCTCTGTAAATAGGGAATTTGTCTGGCCTCCCGCTTTGATGATTAGCATTGCATGCGTGGACACTACTCCAAAGCCCAGCCCGGCTCCCCCACCCTCCTGTCCCCTGGGTGTCAAGGTATTGGAGTTGCGGGGAGGGTCCCCTGCTTCTCCCCTGGACCTCAGCTCTTTTCCCCTGCTTGGCGGGGTGATGGATGGCCTGGAATACCTGGCTGGTGAGAACTAGGCCTGGTCTGAGGTTTGGGTCCCTTTCCATCACATTGGAGGTCAAAGCAAATGGGCCGGCTGTCTTGACCTCTGACTGCCATGGAGGCCATTCCTGCAGCAGCAAACCTGTGCTGTGCTAGATGCCACATGCCAGTGTGCATGGCTGCGTGGGTCCAGCCAGACAGTCTCGGTTCCCAGCTCTCAGGCTGGGGGAGGGGCCATGGATAAATTGTTATGCAAACGAATAATTCACTCGGAGTACTGGGTGACAGGACTGGTTGTTTTATTGCCTAAATAAGAGACTGTACCAGGGAAAGTTCGGCAGTCTGCAGACACTAACATGGAGGTGGGGCTCCTCTCTCCTCTCCCACAGTCCCCTTCCCCAGGATGCTCTGGGTGTGGAGGGATCTAGTCAGGGAACCTGCAGGAAAAGGATTCTCCCCACTCAGTGGTCTGTGAAAATCAGTGTGCCCCCCCGCCCCCCAGTTCCTAGGACTCCAGATGGCTGGTGGGAGGCCTGCAGCTGCACGGACACAAGCGGCAGGGTGTTCCAGCCCTCAGGCCTCTTGACCTCGGTGCCAAGATGTGGATGGTTCCTTCCTCCCCCATCTCGTCCTAGCCCCAGGCAGCTGCTTGGCACTGGCATAGGGAAGTCAGCAAATGGTACCCTTTGCCCAGGTTGTCTTTTGGGGGCTTTGGAAATTGACGTGCTGGTCTCCTCTGCCCAGGGACCAAGAGCAGGGGCACAGGCTTCCTGTGCCCAGCCTGCATTGCCCTCCGCAAATCCTTTGTCACCCCAGCCACTGGCATTTGCTGAAGTGGTCAGGCCCCAGGGCACTCAGGCGCCCTTTGCTCTTAGCCAGCTTTGCTGGATCGGGGCACAGGGCCCCAGTGTCCCCCCGCACCCCTCGAAGCCTACATGTCCTCCTTCCCAGGTGCTGTTCCCTCCTCCCACCACCAGCTCTCCAGGACTAAGCTTCGGGGTCTCCCTGAAGTGCCGCCCCCACTCAAGATACGGTCTCACTATGTAGTTGGGGCTGATCTTGAACTCATGGAGAGATCTTCCAACGTCATGCATCTGTGTGCATCTTAGGTGTGTGCCTGTCGCCCCACAGAGCCCAAATGTTCTGGGAGGCCTGGACCTTGCCAGCCCAGCTCCGGGCTGGAGCACAGGGCTCAGGAGCTCATTGCTGAGTGTGCAGGCCCAGGAAAGCTGTGCCAGGGAGGAAGCCTGCTGACTACAGTGGCATTAGGACACTTGGGGGTTGGGGGGCTCCAGAGGAAGTGGTCTTGCCACTGGGACCCAGGACCAGCTGAGCGGGAGGAGAGTTCAAAGGCAGTGTGCGCATGAGTCGTGGTCAGGAGCCGCTTCCTGGAGGAAGGAGCTGATGTGTGCTGGGGGCGGGGCTGGATGTTCAGAGGAGAAATGGAATAACCAGTTGAGTTCTGATGGGCCCAGCTGAAGAGGACCGGCAAAGCGGCAGTCTGAAGGTGACCCGGCCTACGGCCTCCTGCCAGGCCAATTGGAGAAGGGGTCCCAGGGGACCGAGTCTCTTGGCAAACTGCTGCTTATCCAGGAGCCTGGAGTTCCCAGGGCTCTGCAAGGAGGGTCCTCCCTGCAGGAGCCACTGCTAAGTGCTTGAGGGTGTGGAAGTAGAGGAAGGTGAGATGCCAGGCCAGGGTGCAGGTTTCCCACTTACCTACCTTCCCTTGAGGGTGTCACTGACTGGAGAAGGTGGTGCAGTGGGCCTCGTGGGAAGGCCCAGACCAGGAGCTGGGCTGCGGCAGACCCTACTCTGTGTGGGGGTGCTGGGGGGTACAAGAGGGCAATGACAGTGGGATGAGAATCACTGTCTTAGCCAGGTGCAGTGGCAAGCTCCTGTAATCCCAGCACTTGGGAGGCTGAGGCAGGAGGATCGCCATACGCTCAAAGCGGCTTGCTGAGCTACAAAGTCAGTTTAAGACCAGCCTGAATTACATAGTGAGACCCTGACTCAAAAATAAAGTTGGGGATATAGCTCAGAAGCATGACACCTGGCTGGAAAGTCCAAGGTCATGAGTTCAATTTCTAGCCCTCCCCCTATGCACAAAAAAAAAAGGAAAGGAAAAAGTGGCTATCGTATTCCCTGAGTGATTGCTAGGTAGGTCGAGGTACCATGCTAAGCCCTTTCCGCATTGTCCTGTGTAACCATCACAGTGCTGTGGCCAGGGGACCATGTTGTCCGCTTTAGAGAAGAAGACCTAGAGGCATGGAGAGGTGAAGATGCTTGCCCAGGGCCACCTGCTGTTTAGTGGCGGGACTGCGGCTGGAGCCAGGTCCACCCTCCAGAAGTATTTGAGCGATTCCTATGGCTTCTATGGCTCCTATGATGGCTGGGGCCGCACTCCTAGTCCCCATGCACTGCTGTGGGGTGCAGGAGCCAGGAGCCCTCTGGATGGCAGTGCCTCACGGGCTGGGACAGCAGCTCTAAGTCCCTATGTGCCTCGTGTCACCTCCCTGACTGATGGGACCGGAGCCCACGCTGGCTGTACTGAGCCCCAGCAGAGTGATTCCCCAGTACAACCTCTCAGACCCACTGGCCCCATGAGGAAACAGATCTGGAGAGCCTGCGGAAGTCAGCACAGGTCTGTCTGACCACAGAGCCTGCGCTTTTGCTTGCCTGCCTGTTTGTGACAGGCTCTCTGTACAGCCCAGGCTGGCCTCAGACACATGCTGAACCTCCTGCCTCCGCTTCCCCAGCATTTGTTTTGTGTTTTTATACAGCCTAATGCTGTGTGTTGTCCTGCGCTGTGTAAGCACCGTGACGTAGAAGCCTGTCCCTGTGTTCAGTATAGGCGCGCTATTTTTCCTACTTTTTTTTTTTTTTTTTTTTTTGCGGAACCGGGGATTGAACTTGGGCTCTTGCGCTTGCCAGGCAAGCCCTTATTCTACTGAGCCATCTCCCTGGCTTTCTCACATATTTCTGACCATGGCTGCTGCAGCCATGGATGCAGAACCTGTGGGTACATAACGAAGGGTGCGCAAGGTCGGGCTGCAGTTTGGTGGCTTCCACAAGGGCACACTGTCCCAGCACTCCCAGAAGCCCCTCTGCCCACCTGCTACTTCCTGCCCGCCCACGGACCATGGCGCCACCCGGACTCTCACACTGCTGTTCGGCTTCTCCCCTCCCTGCACTGGTACAGACCCTGGTGGGGAAAATTGTGGGCAGGAATTCGTTCCTGGCTGACCTGTGTTCTAGACACTGTCTCTTCCGTCGTGTAGTTGGTGGATGGTGAGGCAGGGCCTTGCTCCGCTGCCCACACTGCCCATGAGCTCCTGTCTCCCTCCTGAGCCGCTGAGCCGTGGGAGGAGCACCCTCTCAGGCTTGGCTAGGTTGTTTCTAGTTGCCAGCTGAATATGAAGTTTCACTTTTCATTCTTTGAGGGCAGTGGTATATCACCGCTAGCTGACTGGTCACCGAGCCTGAACCCCTTTTCAGTGTGAACCCCTTTGGGCCATTTTCGAGGCAGGAGAGATGTGGGCTTGACAGCACCAGGCGCTGGCTCCCAGCGGCCCCACCCGCCCTGCACCCCAGAACCTCGGCCCCGGTCTCCCCACCTTGGAGTAGGCTCCCACTTGCGAGCCTCTCAGGGAGACCTCATGCTTCCTTTCACTGCGGTGCCTGCTTTCGGCTCCAAGCAGTATCCCCTCGCTGAGGATCCCCAGTCAGCAGCATTAGGGGTCTTTTCTGTGTGGGCCCATTACATATGGCACTGCTGTGAGCCTTCTAAAGTACATCTCAGCACACATTCTGTTTTTGAGACAAGTTTGCACTATGTAGTCCAGGCTAGTCTTGAACTCACAGTGTAGCCCATACTGGCCTCAAACTGGTAGTGATCCTCCTGCCTCAGCCTCCCAAGTACTGCGATTACTAGCACACCTGGTTTTTCTTGCCCATTTTAAAATTGAATGCAGTGTCTTTTTCTTTTCAGACCAATTTATAGAAATTGTCTATACTGTGTCCTTAAACACAGGTCCTCTGAGCTGGGTGAGGTGGCATACGCTATAATCCCAGCACTCAGCAGGCTGAGGCAGGAAGACTGCTGTGAGTTCCTGAACTATCTATGGAGACTGTCTCAAAATACCACCCTCTAAAAAAAAAAAATCATAGTTCTCTGCTGTGCATATTATTGGAAATAGACTTTCTCCTTCTCTTTCTTTCTTTCTTTCTTTCTTTCTTTCTTTCTTTCTTTCTTTCTTTCTTTCTTTCTCTTTTTGGTGGAACTGGGGATTGAACTCAGGCCCTTACACTTGCCAGGGAAGCACTTATTCTACTGAGCCATCTCCCTGCCGCTCTTTTCTTTTCTTTCTTTCTTTAAACGTAGCTGGTGCAGGGTCTTACTCTGCAGCTTGGACTCATAGTGATCCTCCTGTTTTCAGCCTCCCCAGTGCTGGATTACAGGTGTGCGCCACCACGCCAGGCCTCGTGGCCAACTCAACACACCGTGGAGGCAGGGCTGGCGCAGCATGTGGTGCTTAAACCCCAGTCCCTGTGCTTACCTAAGCAGGCGCTTAGTCTGCTGCGGTTTCTCACGGGCCCTTTAGCCTCTTTTTCTTAAATA